AATGTTAAAACTGTAGCACAGATTTTAAAAGAAGCTTTCAGGTCATGGAACAGCTAATTCCTTTTGGAATAAGAGAGGGTGCAGACAGAAGTTACATTTGTCATGTGATCAGCTCCCTGAAGACGCTGCACAGCTCTGCCGTGACACACATGCACAGCTGCAGAGTGCTTTAGAAGTGGCCGATCACACACAAATTAACCAACATCTAATGAGAGATCAGTTAAGGCACTCCAAAGTGGAGCAACTTAGGGAACTTGTGTTCCCTAGAGTCGATCTGTCAGGGCTATTGGGACTGCCCCTGGTGCTGTCTGAGGGAAGGAGCAGCTGCAAGCTGGAGAGGAGGCAGCTGGATTCAACTGCCTCTGTCTTGCAGCCCCCCTCCACACACACACACACTCCCTCCCTCCTTCAGTCCAGGAAAACCCCAGCTCACAGCTCCCCCTCTCCCCTTCCCTTCCTGCGGATAGTACCAGAGCTGGGCAGGGGGGAGGGGGCAGGGCTGCAGGCACATTCAATCCCCACCTCCAACCCAACAAATGTAACCTTCTATCTATCCTTTATTATATCTAGTCTTCATAAATACCCACTTGCATTTTTACAGCCATGAGATGTCCTCTTTTTGCTAGTCCATGACTTTTCACTGCTGTCACTTCCCCATCACTGAAATCATAAAAAAATCCAATTTGGGGATTTCAGGCACCAACCAGATATCCCAACAGCAACTCATACTGTAATTTCAGTGCCCATATTACTTTAGACACAAACTCTCTTGCACTTGTAAATAAAAAATGCCTGAAAACTTGCAAGAAAGTTACATTTTTAAGGGGTTGCTTTGTCCCTAGCTGCTGTTTGGAAGAGCTGAAGAGCGCGCAAGAATTCTCTCTTCCCTACTATACCTTGTAGCTAGGCAGCTCCTGTATGAGTACTGGGATGAGATTCTCCATCCACTTCCAGGGGACCAGATACCTAGTAGAGATAGACAGAGCAGGGAGAAAATTAGGCCATCATTTTTTACAGTAGCAAAACATTTTCGTAGCATTTGTCTGTTGAGTCGGGGGTTGGGGGGGGTCGTTCTAACTCATGCCACTTTATGCAAAGCACCATGAGTTAGAGCAGGGAACTGCACCTCTGTCAGCACCCAGAGTGTCTCCTTCTGATTGTCCAAACTTCACAATGTTTAATATGTCTCAGATCTTTACAAAGAGCCACTAGCCATTGTGCAAGTAAAAATATCTGCATGCCTAGTCCTTGAACTCCAGCAGCTCACTACTTTAGTTGACAGTATTTGGGATAACATCCTTAAACACAACATAATTTAGACTTTCAGTTACTCCAAGGATCTATTTCCTTTCTTATTTGGGGGCTGAGTAGATTCTTAACCCTGACTTGTAACATATACAAGTGCATATGTTACCCATTGTACTTGATTTACATCCCACAAAAATGAAAACAAAATTTTAGTTAAAAACACTTAAGGATATGTTAAATGAAATTCCACTCACAGAAACACTTGAAAGTAAGAGAGTGTCCAGCTAAAATACTATTTTTTACTAGGTTTAAATTACAGACACCACATTTACCATTTTCAGTGACCAGCTATCTCTATAAATAGGTTCCATACTGACAACATACTTAGGAATTCCATAAAAGAAAGACTTACTTTGGAAGAATATAAAGGTTGCCAATCAAGGTCCCATAAGTTAAGAGACCCAGTATTGAAATTGCCTTGTGCAACCTTCAGATGATCCCCTTTGGCATATGCACTATGTTAAAAAAAATGTTCTTTCACAGGGCATTCTTTCTATTTTGTGCACAGGATGGCTGGTTTACAATGAAAAGTCATAGTAACTGAACATTCTTATTTACCAGTGGCCTTTATTTATTGCTTACTGTTTGCTACATTCAATATACAATCATTCATTTCTTTGTGTGTTTTTGTTTTATTAGGGGAAACAACATTAGATTGAAAGATTTACATACATTAATAATTTTTTTTTTCAGAGCATCTGTATTAGGTAAGGGGAAGTAGTTTCAGTTCACAGATAAGAAACAGAAGCACTGAGAAATCAAAATTAAAACAGTTAAGTGCTCACCAATGTTGGGTGCCAAATTGGAAGTGCCTAGGGCTTGTCTTCACATTGTGAACTTAACATGTAGAACTCCACATGTTCAATGTACAGCTCCTTTGAGGTAAACTTTGCAACTGTGAGTGTTCAGTACTCCAGCAAGCACATCCATGGTATCGTTAGTTAGAAATGAGTATACACAAAGTGTATAAACAAACCTTTTATCTGCTTTAAAAGGGGAGAGGCAGCTGTTACTCAGGAGTGCACATCCACAGACCAGCTGCAGATGCTTTCTCAACCTAAAGAAGGGTGTTTGTGTCCAAAAGCTTGCAAAGAAGAATTTTTTCCAACTATTTGAGTTGGTCTAATATAAGATATCAGATTTACTCAAAAAACCTTGTCTGCCTATGTTCTTAGACCAACACAGCTACAATGTATGCCCATCAACTGTTATAACTGTTTCACCATAGTGTAATATGCCATTATATGCTGCTCCTGAGGCAGGCACAGAAAGCAGAAGCTGAAGGAGAAAAGGGAGACTCTGGCTGCTATTTGCAGCCAAAGTGATAGGAGGACCCGTGGCATGGCCAGACCCTTGGTGTTGCAGCTTAACCCCTCATGTGCCACATATAGCCTATGGGCTGTGAGTTGGACACTTGTAGTTTACCTCCCTGCAATCTTCTGTCTTATTCACTGCACATCTGTCAAATCCTGCAAGAAACTGCAGGAGACCTACATGCAGCTTCATACATCATAAAATCCTGATTCTTTCCCTGATTTTTATTTTATTTCACCCTAAACTCAGCGGTTTTCTCTTCTTTATGCCTAAGTGTTTATAGCAAACATGGTCCAGGCATTTTTAATACATGGGCTGAATTGTTTAGAAAGTTAAGTTACTGTGGCAGAATGCCAACATTTTTTTCTTGAAAAGTACACTTGAGAGCTGAAAAATAGCTATTTGTATCACTTTACAACTAAGCTAAGGGCTTCTCAACATGGAAATTATACTGATACAGTATGAAGTGAAACTGCTATAATAATATTGGTATAACTGTCAGCAGGTTGCCTAACCCTGTTGGTTTCTGCAGTTGGGTTTTGCTTCCTGAGGAGCTCCTCAGCTAGTCCTCCCAAATAAAATATAGTCTTTAGGCAACAAACAAGCAAACAATTAAAACTAAACCACGCCTTTCTGCCCCATCCCAGGCACTATAGGAGCTCCTGGGCCTTGGCACGGCAGCTTGGCTCCTCTCCTGCTTACTCTTCTGGGAGCTTTTTAAAGCTTCTAACAGAGCACTCCCAGCCTAGCCAAAAGCCCTACAGCTGGGCTCTTTCAATGGGGCTAACTCTTCCATTTTAAAGGGACAGACTGTCCCGTTACAAACCCCCTATGTAGATGTTCTAATTGTGATTTAGTACCTTTTCCCAGTGGCTTGGGAGTGGCTTAAACTAATCAAAAAGAAAAATATACCCTCAAGGTAGGAATAAACAAAGAAAATATAGCACATTAAAAGAGAACAGGGGCTTACTGCAAAGCAGATACTCCATTGGTAACTAGGCAGACAAAGTTCTTTGGGCAAATGTGATATCTTTGGGCAAATGTGACCAACTAAATAGTTAGAAAAATTGTTCCAACTATTTAGTTGGTTTAATAAAAGTTACCGCATTTACCCAAATAATCTTATCTGCCTATGTCCTTAGACCAAGATGGCTACAACTAACAACCCATTAGTAACTATCCATTTCTCAGCTCTTACCCTGCAGTCAGTAAATGAAAGCTAAACCAGGGCAACTCTATTTCATTGTGAACTGTACTGAATGACTTCAGCTTCTGCAGCATTGACATGTAAGCCTGTTAGGCATGCATTCTTAGTTCCCCTATAGAGCCAGTTATTTCTCTAGAGAAGGTATGAAATTCCATTTCCCTGTGTGCAGAAATTGTTCTTTGGTACCACTTTCTGTTCTGTTGTCCATGACCCACTTAGTTATTCAGAACCGACCCCCTGTGTATTGGTTACTGGGAGAGGCAGTTTTCTCCTCAAATCCTGGTTATATGGTCTTATGATGAGCTGACTCCCATCTGTTCCATGCTGCAGAAATAATCATATAACCTCAAATGCTTTAAAGAGGAAAAATCTGTTTTGTGAGTCTGCAAAACTAGAAACTCATAACAGTCAGAAATGCTTCTAAAAGTAATGCTGTGATGATTAATGATTCTGTGTCTTCAAGAAATTGGAGAATTTGCCAGCTCCCCACCTAGATACATACTCAGAACTTCTAACTGGCAAGATTCCATTTATTCCTAAGAGGAAGTAAAGTGCTCTTTCTTTGTGTAGGGTTACAAATGGTTGAGACCTGAACACATTAAGGATATGCAATACTTCTTAAAAAAAAAAATCCCCCCCAAAGCACTAATTCTTAGGAGAAACAAATAACACCAGACTCTTTTAAGCAGCAAAGTGGTGTGCCTCACAACAGCTCTTTGGCATTCTGTATCAGGTTATAGAAATCCTTTTGATAAACCTGTTTGGCCTTTAGAAGACTTCAGGAATCCTTGCTAATAACTTGCAGGGTGGGGTGAAGGAGACAAGCCCCAGCAGGCTTTCCTGAGTCCAGTGCCTTAGAAAGAGTGAAGGCTTCTCAGAGCAATAACGGGAAAGTTTTGCCAACTTCACTTTCAGTCAAACAGGATACCTCATTTTACCTAACAGTAGAAAATGACTCTCCCAGCACAGCTTTATGCCAGCCTCAAATTGCCAGTGCTCAGAGGTAACAGTGATTATTATTATTTGTTTAAATCTATCTTCAAAAGCCAAAATTGTTTGTTATGCGGCCAAGCATTTCTGCTTATTTCAATCTGACCTGGAAGAATGTGCCCTGCCTGAATGGAGTTGTCTGAGGAGATTATCCATATGTGTCTGCAGATTGCATTTTTCTGAGAAGCTTTTCAGTATGGGACTTCAGTAATCACAAGCTACAGGGATGTGATTAGCTTCTTGCTTGATCCTTCAGTCATTGGCACACAAGGTCAGCATTTGAAATGACACAGATTTTGCATGCAGAAGGATTAAACATTTAGGAATCAATAACTGAAGGGGAATTGCAACTTTTCTGAAGTAAGGGACCATAGGACTCAAACTATGCTAGAAGATGACAAATAGCGAGCAATGTAACTCACTACATCCTTTCTATCAGAGCAGCATCCTCTGGGGCTTAGAGATCTCACCATCCTTGGGATGAACTGTACATCTCTCTTTACCTGGCTGCTCTTCAGGATACTGCAAAAAATTATGGCCTCATTTTCTCTCTGCTTTCTGTATCTCTTCTAGGTAGCTGGTCCCCTGGAAGTGGATGGAGAATCTCATCCCAGCTCTCATACAGGAGCTGCCTAGCTTCAAAGCATAGTAAGGGAAGAGAGAATTCTTGCACACTCTTCAGCCCTTCTAAACACTGTCTAGGCACAAAGCAACCCCTTACAAACTTCATTTTCTTGCAGGTTGTCAGGCATTTTTGATTACAAGTGCAAAAGAGTCTGTGTCTGAAGTAATGTGGGCATTGAAATTACAGTATAAGTAGCTGTTGGGATACCTGGTTGTGCCTGAAATCCTTGAACTGGATTCTTCTATGATTTCAGTGATGGGGAAGTGACAGCAATGAAGAGGTATGGACTGGCAAAACTAACAGCAGCAAAGAGAGGACATTTTATGGCAGTAAAAATGCAAGTGGGTATTTATGAAGACTAAATATAAATATAATAATATAAATAAATAGAAGGTTACTGTGAGAAGAGAATGGAAACTGTGTAGTGTTTGGCCATGGACAGGTGCTACATTTGTGTTGGGAAATATGCCCTTTTCCCAGTACAAAAAGTGAGAATATAGACATTTAAGCTGTTTGTATTGGAATCACTGCTTTTTCTACCACAACTGTTAGATTTCTCATAAAGCTATTTCACTGGACAGTGAAGTTTTCTAGCACCATGTGTAATGCCTGACCAGGGCATGACAGATGTCCCTAGGATCCTTAGTATCTCATAGTTCTCAGTCCAAGGGGGAGAAGAGAAGTAGAGCATTCAGATCCCTCATCGCCTGCCTAGTAGCCAGCTCTCAGGGGAACCCTGCTGCAGTGCCTGCTTGAATCGTCTCCACTCTGACTCGGACTGTTTAAGTGGTGTCAAGAGTTCCCACACCCTAACCCTAACCTCCCTGAGCTTTCCCACTCTGCTGATTATCAGAGCAGATGGAGCAGACAGAAAGGTGGGTGAGGGAATTCCTAGCGCCACTGCCAGAGTGCTGATAAGAGCTGGGACTGTGGCCCTACCAGCAAGGGCAAGGAGAGCATTTCTCCTTGCCCCTGCTACCCTTGATCACTAATAGCCTGTTCCCTTCCCTGGAAGAGGAGAGGACAGACTGTCAATTATTGGGCAGGGGAACCCTTAATGCCTCCTGGCTGGATAGCTTACCTTTGACTTTGCAGCTCTCTTTCAGGGGGCTGGAATGCCTGTATGTACATCCTCCTTTTTTCTAAGTTTCACAATTGAACAACTGTCCATAGCTTTCAATATCTACCATTCTGCCTATTCATATTATGGTAAGTGCTATTCCTTTATTTTTCATAAAGAAAGAACACCAAAAAAAAATACAGTTTTCTTATTCAGCACAAGCTATTTTATATACATTTTCATGTCAAACAGTCATAAGAGAACAAGTAAAACAAAAGAAACTAAGTGCTCTTAAAATAATCAGGCTAAACATATCACTAGTATAACTCCATGGAAGTTAGTGGACTTGAAGTTAGCATTTTATACATTGTTTGCAGCATGCGTTTGGGACTCTTATCAAGTAACTGTTAACTAATTTAGGCTGAACATTTAAGTTTGGGGTTTTGAAGTAAGATATAAGATATTGAAAAAGTTTAAATAAACTTGTAAAAACTAATGGATAACAACTAAAAAAATGGAAAAGAGATGCAGAGCAATGAACATAGAAACCAAAAGCACAAATGGAGTAATGGAAGAAACTGGTTGAGAAATCTGAAGCAAGCGAGCTGCAAAACACTGTGAAAACAAGCCAATTTACTACCACTGCTACTTTGTGCAAAATTAGATGAAACTAGAGAGCTACACAAAACAGTATAAGCTTTGTTATATGAGAGGTATGATGGGGAAATCCAAGTGTCTGCAACACAATGCTCTGTCTAGTGATTCTTCTGTTTCTAAAGCCTAGATCTGTTGCCTCATGTTCACCACAACCGCACCCAGTATCCATGTGGCAGTCTCTGGGTTTATTCCTACAGCATCCACAGCTTTGAACAAAAGATATCAATGGGTTTAATTCCTATATTTTCAGCCCTTGAGGAATAAAAGCTTCTGTGAAATGGTGAGCAAGCTAAAAACAAGTAAGCTTTATTGCAATGCACAACTCTGAATCTACAGTCTTAATTGAGAACAAGATTAGCAGGATGGGTAGAGAGGAACACAAACATTGAACAGAGTTGAAACAGAACTAGATGAAATACTTGTTCAAAGGCATGGTTATCTGAACAGTACCTTTCAACTTCTTAGTTAAAACTTTTAAGTAAAAGGGAAAACATTAAAGAATTGGGTTTCTTCTAACCGCACAGCTGCAAATGTCATTTTTATGTCCACTGATTGCATCCAAGATCATAAAATCAGCCAGCTCCCTCTCACAGCTGTAAGAAGCAAGGTTTTTTGGTGATATATTCTGTTAGACCAACTGTATAGTTGGAAGAGGCACCTTGGGCCTGAAAAATTGTCTAATATCTTTCACAACTATAGAGCTGGTTTAATAAAAAGATAACACCAAAACAAAAACTCCTTTGCTTCTTGCAGAGCTCCTGGACCATCATAGCAGCTACAACAACACTTCAAACTTACTATCTCATAACTACAGTCAGTATTTGCATTCTCCCACTAGCCAGGCAGACCCAACCTGCTTGATATATTTATTTAATCAGTGTGGCACTTATGAATCCTACAGAGTCTAAACTTTCACTTAAAATAAAGAACGTCATGGTGACGAAAAAAACCTCTCATGTGAATCAGCATTATTTTCCTGACTATGAAGACAGGCTGAAAGTTCCCAAGTATTACTTGTACATTAGTGTTAACTCAGAAGCCTAACAATAAGATTTTTAGTGCCAGTATTAACTGTTTCATTGCTGACCATTCTAGTGGGTATGATAGTATGGAACCACCACCAAGGAGGAATACTCTGCTTTAGTCCAGACTTACAGAGAGCAAATCAGGAAAGCCAAGGCTGTGAAGAAACTACAGCTAGCTACAAATGTCAAGGAAAATAAAAAGTCCTTTTTTAGACATGTGGGGAACTGGAGGAAAAGCAAGGGCAACACTGGATCCCTGCTGAACCAGATGGGACAACTGACGCCCAGGAAAAAGCAAACTTGCTAAATGGGTACTTTGCATTGGTCTTTCACCAGTTCCGTGGGACACCCTTGCCCACTATGGGTCAGGGAGGCCCGGGCGAGGGAGAGTCTTTGCTCTCCATCGTAGCTGATCTCATGAAGGAACACCTCAACAGGCTGGATACCTTCAAGTCAGCCGGCCCTGATGGGTTACACCCAAGGGTAGTCAGGGAGCTGGCAAGCATCATAGCTCAGCCCCTGGCACGGATCTTTGAAAGTTCTTGGTGTTCTGGTGAAGTGTCCAATGGTTGGAAGAGGGCCAATGTCGTGCCTATCTTCAAGAAAAGGAGGAAAGTAGATCCGGCAAACTACAGGCCCATCAGCCTGACCTCTATCCTGGGGAAGGTCTTGGAAAAGATTATCAAGGAGGCCATCCTTAACAGACTAGCTGAAGACAATATCCTGAGGGATACCCAGCATGGGTTTGTTGTGGGTAGGTCTTGCTTGACCAGTCTCATTTCCTTTTATGACCAGGTGACCTATAACCTGGACAAGGGGGAAGAGATCGACATCGTATACCTCAACTTTACAAAAGCCTTCAATCTGGTATCTCACGGTCACCTCTTGGCTAAACTGGCTAACTGATGCCTTGACATCACCACGATCTGCTGGCTGGGGAACTGGCTTTGCAGTAGGACCTAGAGGGTGGTGGACGATGGGAGCCAGTCGTCTTGGTGCACTGTGACCAGTGGGGCCCCACAAGGCTCTGTCCTAGGGC